CCCTTCCCTTCCCTTCCCTTCCCTTCCCTTCCCTTCCCTGCGCGGCCGGGCGAGGCGGGAGGACGGCGCCGCGGGGCCGGGCCGGGGTGGCGCAGGTGCTCCGCGGGCGGGCGGTGGGGCCGGCGGCTGGGCGCGGTTGCCGCGCGCAGGAGCGGGAGCGGGAGGGAAGCGCCCCTGCTCCTCGTAGTAGGGCGAGCGCTCCCAGCGCCGCAGCGTGACGTTGCGCCGCGCTTCGCAGGCAGGGAGCAGAGCGCAAGGCGTTGCACTGGGAAAGCCTCGGGGCAGGGCTCGCGTTCGCGTCGCTGTTTGGAGGGGGCAGTTCCACGCTTGGGGAGCCGCGAGGGCAGATTCCCTGCGGGGAGCAGAAGCCCCCGGGCCGCTCGAAGCGGCGGGGGCATCTGGGCAGATGTCCGCTGGATGACTCTGCCCCCCCGCCCCCCTCTAGAGGCCTCCGGGGAAGGAAAGCCCACCGTCGAGCCGCCCCTTCCTTCAGCAATGGAGACGGATGCTGTCTCCCAAGAGTCAGTAAACACGCGGGTGGGGCGGCCGGTGGAGGCCGTGCACACAGCCCATCGTCCAGCCCCGGAACCCGCTTCCATGGGATAGTGACCCATGGCGGGGGGGCCTTTAAGGAAGGATCAGGCAGATTCCTGGAGGAGGCGGCGGCGGAAGCTGGGCGGCTCTTAGTCTTGACGGCGCTCCCGCACAGAATCCAATGCGCTTTTGTATTCTAGCAGGCGCCAGCCAAGCCTCTGAATGCCCGAGCTGGCCTGTGACGGGCTATGCCGCCGGCCCATCGCAGCGTCTCCCTGTTGGAAGGCGCTCTGCAAGGATTTCCGCAGCGAGAGGTCCCGATCCCAGCCGTGCAAATCGCCACGCCCGTAGAAACCGAATCGGGAGCTTCCTTTTCATTAGATGTGTACCCCACGCTGTTTGCAGAGGCTCCGCCTGCAAATTTGCACCGGGGCAGTTGGCAGGGTTAGGCCCGCTTTGCTCCAGAGGCAGAACTTCAACACAGGCCTTGCAAGGCCTGTTGCTTCCGTGGCTACCCATTCATACCCCGAACTAGCGCACTGGACTGACCCCGATGCTCAGGGAGAAGGTGCAGTTTAGAGCTCAACAGCAGACCTACAGGCTCCCCGCAGGGACCACCTTGTGGCGCCCGTGTGGATTGGGTGACTCTGCCATTGCTCCTTGTTTTTAAACAAACAAAAACTGTTACGAGTCGAGGGGCAGAGCTCCTGAGCTGCCAGCTGCATGCCACAAATGCAGGCGCTTTTTAGTTCTTGGCCTCGGCCATGTTGTCCTTCGTTCTGCCTTGTTTCAGCCCCACCTAAGAGCGTCTTTGGAGACAAGGTTGCCCCTTGGGGAGGAAGGTGCAGCAGGTGCCCCCTGGGCGACTCCTCCACCCCTCTTGCAGCCAGTACTCCAAAGTCCAGCGGTCCTGCTCAGCAGGAAGCAAAATGCTTCAGGAAAAGGCAGCATTCCCGCCTGGTGGCTTTCCCTTGAGAGAAAACTACCTGGATTTTAATGCATTGAGCAAGGGCTGCACCTTAGCTTTCCTCAAAATCCTGCAACACACCTGACATACGTAGTGAACTCCCGATTTAACCTTAATGAAAACGCCAGACACAAATAAGGAACAAAGGGTTACTTTAATGGATGAGAGGCAACGGCAAAAGATGGATGACAGCCTTGAAAGAGGGGTAATGGGAATCCCCAAGATTAGACAATAGTGCTTCTCAGATATAGGTATATATTTTTATACTATGCCTCCACATTCAAACACGCCCAGACTGAGAGAAACCCCTCCCTTCTACCCTGCAAAGCGCCGGGAGCACCGTTTCCCCATCTTCCTTCTGGCAGCGTATAAATAAAATGTGTGTCCATGAATAGAACAGAGCATTTGAAAACTCAGCTGGACTTTGGGAAGCTGTGGCCAGTGGCGGCTTCCTGCATTCCTGGTCCGACACTGGAATGAGGGAGACCTGTTCCAGAAATGGGCTAGTTTCCTTTTCCATGGCGATGCAGAGGACTGGCAGTCCTCTCGTCTCAGCCATGGTGAAGCCGCTCGTCTTGCTCCAGGCCGCCAGCCAGGCGCCTTCTGCCGCATCCCGGGCGGACCGGCTCAGGAGGTGTGCTTCTGCTTCCTTTTGTCGCCTCAAACTGTCTCAAGAATTTACAAAAAATGACGTGTGTGAAGCGGCCCATCTTCCAGGCCCACGCTTATGCTCACACCGATTTCTTATCTCGCTCTGTCCTGCCAACTTTCCGTAGTGTTTCCTGATTCCTCGCTAAGATCCAGCTTGCATTTCCACGCATAATTTGAGTAAATATCAAACCCCCTTTTATAACAAATTCCACAAGCAAAACCCATACAAAATACTCTTGTACAAAACGGTATTTATACAGGAATAGCCAAGGTTTTTCTGAATAATTACCTATATATAAACACCTCCCTGGGACACTGCTACATCTAAGAGGAGAAGAGCAAACTAAATGCCAAGTTCTCTGTACAATTGTAAAAAAAAAAGACCCCCTCCGTCCCCCACCCCACAGAACGAGAAGCTGCTCTGCAACCTTCATGTGCTAGAAGTTAAGATACCATCACAACCACCTTAGCAGCAGATTAATAAATAAGGATTAAATAGATTATTTTACAAACCCACAGAGAACAGCTATATTAAAAAAACAAACACACCACTTCCTGGGCAGATCTCCTGCTATGGACCTCTTGAGCTGCGGGATTTCTGGGGGCCTGGATCCGCTTCACAAGGGCCTTGCACATGAGGAGATCCCGGGGGTCACAGCTCAAAGCCTTCCTCCTCCCTCTGCCCCCCCCCCCCCTTCAGCTTTTGGCCCCAGCCGTTTGCACTCAAAGGACGGTGGTGCCAGAAGCTTGCAGGAAACACAGAATGTGCTTTTCAACCAGAGCACAAAAAGTACATGTCCGAAACCTTATGGCACCGTCGCTGCCTCGGGGTGGGGGGGGCGGCAATGGTCGGGTTTCCACAGGCCTGACAGAGAAACGGGACTAATTATCTCATAGCTTTTATTAAGCAAAGTTGTCGTAACCAACCACACAGTGGCAAGTGACGGAACAGCCGCCCCCCAGCGGCGAGATGCATGCGGCGCTGGGCTCGTGACCCCAAGAGCCGCGATGATCGCCACGATCGGGGGGGGGGTGGGAGGAGAGGGAGCAGGGGAGGGGGCCGGCGTGTGCAGCCTGGATAGTTTCCTGAACGGCCGCTTCCTTATGCGACGTATTCCTTGGCTCACAGTTCAAGTCGGTTGACAGTTGCCTAGTAACTGTTTTCGTGGCCGGCCAAAATGTACAGATTGCTGTGTGCGGTTGGGTTCTCCGTCGGCCGGCTCTCCAGCACCACCACCCTGGAAGGCAAGCACAGAGCGGGCCCCGTCAGCCGTCGCGGGACCTGCTCCCTGGCGGCCGGCGGCCCCCTCCCCTCGGGATGTTCGGAGGCACCGCACGAGACGCAAGCAGAGGGTTTCTGCTCAAACTGGGCGCTGCTGGCAGTGGCAGGACGGCGGGAGGGTCCCGGGCGCCCCAGTGCCCCGGCTGCGCCGCGTCTCACCCGCCTTGGGGTTGGGGCCAATTCTGATGGGAGTCCCGTGGCCGGAAGAGGCTGCGGGCCCCAGGGGCCGACAACGTGCTCGCCAGGAGGCACCGAGGCTGGCCTCCCCACCCCGGGCATGCCGGACGTTCATCCTCACACCCCTGCAGGGCTGGTCGGAGGCATCTTGACCCGCCCGTTCGGGTGCCGAGCTCTTCCGGGCACAGGAGCTGATGCCTCCTCCTCAGCTCCTTATTAAGGGGAGCAGCCCCCCCTAGTCTAGGGCCAAAGTGCCCCTCAAGTGCCCGGTCTTCCCCTTTGCCTCTTCCGGGGAGTCCAGCTCACCCGGCTGCATCTGAAGGGATTCTCAAGACTGGGCTGGGCTGGAACTGCCTCAGGTTGCCAGTGTGGGAATCTGTGTTCCCAGAAATCATAAAAATCCACTGCAAAGTGCACTAGGCTGTCAGGGGGCTGGTTCACCTGGCCCCTCCCTGACATGCTACCTTTCTGTGTGTGGGCAGTGCCTGCCCCCCACTCCCCCGGGGGCAGCCTTTCGTACCACATTAAAGGCGAAAAGCTTCAGCACGGAGGGCCGGGTGTGTTGGGGAGCATCCAGCGAGGCCCAAAAGGCAGCCCAGGTGGGAAGAAGCCACCTGCGCCACTCGCCTCCTTCATCCCAAGGACCGGCTCACACACGAGACGGAGGCCCGCAGGCCTGGCCAGCCTGCACCGAGGCCCCGAGGCCTGAGTCCCACCCACAGGGCTTCCTCATGCATCAAGGAACGTGTCTGGGGCTGACACTAACCCTCGCCCTGCACTGCCCGGGTCCAGGGACAGTCCTAGCTGCCCCCGCCTGAATGCAGAGGGCTTGGCTACGTTTCCCGAGAGTTTTACTGGGATGTTCCAGGGGAGGAAGCGGCCCGGCCAACTGCCCAGTCTCAGACGCACTGGGTGGTCAAGAGGGAGCAAGCTACGGTGGAGGGAACCTCCCAGCAAGCTCAAAGACTGAGGTTACCTGTCAGAGCCCAATAAACGGAACACCCTCGTTTCATCCGAGATTTCCTGGGTTACCTGTAAAATACAGAAAGGGGCCGAAGACGTGAAGCAGCAGGGCTTGGAAAGGAACGAAGCCAACCGAGGGAGCAAAGGAGGCTGCCTCGAACAGGTGTGAGCCTGGCCGGAGTCGATCTCTGCCCTTACTCCCCTCCTCCTGAGGAGGGTGCATCTGGTTCGTCACAGTGGCTGTTGGGGGCCAACATGGAGGGGTGGGCGCCCTGGAACCTGGACCCAGGTTTGCATCTCTGCTCCCTGGGTGGCATTCGGCCAATCCCAGCCTATCCTACCTCACAAGATTGTTCTGAGGGTAAAAGGGAGCCGAGGAAGATGGCGTGAGATGCCGGGGGCTCTCTGGAAATAAATGTAAGATATAAAGCATACGGAAATGACCACTGTGGGCCTGCAGGAAAAGCGCGCGACCGTGCTCAGCACTAAAGCTGCCGGGCATCCGTCGCTGGCATCGGAGACGTGCATGACGAGGCGGCCCATGGTTCCCAAGCACCGAAGGAATTCTTCCAGCACCTCCTGCCCGGGACACTTTGTGGCTGGAGGGCAGCGGGGCTCAGCCCTGAGGCCTTGGCCACGCAGGTGATGGGCACTCTCCCGGGCAAGGGTTCCATCCAAAAATAACAGGGAGAACGGGAGTCCTCCTGTCGCCCTCCCGGCAGGCCCGGCGCCAGAGTCGGTGGGGCCGTGCGTGCCAGAGGGAGCAGTCGCAGCCGATCCCGAATCTTCCGCGCTTAGCTCGCCCCTTCATGCTCTCAGTGACCCACACGGCAACTCTGCACATCGGGCCAGTCACGGTCCCGCGCTGCAGATGGGATGCGGGCTGAGGGGATGCAGCTCTGTCAGCGGCATCTCGGCTGGCATGAGATCTGCTCCGAAGCTCACGCCGCGCCAGTAGCCACAGCGCCCGGGAATATCGAAAGCTGCCCAAGGTCAGCAGGCGTTGGCCTGGCTAAACAGCAGGGTAAAAGTGCTGTGAGCAAGCCAAGGCAAAGGGCTCTCCTGCCCCGGGGCAGACCCTGCAGGAGCCCCCCGATCGGTGCAGGCGACCTTCTTTGGCCCAGAGGCACCTTTGGGAGCCTCGTTCCTGTGGTGGCAGGGTGGGGGCAACAGGGAGGGGACCACATGCCAGCGCAGTGCAGCTGGATTTTGTTCCTGCCGACAACCAAGGTACGGGAGAGGCCTTCTGGCCTGTAGAAAAGAGGGCAGAACTGTGGAAGAGCCAGAAGACCATGCAAGGACTGGAGGGGAAGGGGGACACCCAGCTAGAAGAACAGGGTGGCCCTCCTGCGTGCAGGGTTTCACCGCCCGTGGGCTTGCGCAACTCCTCTTGACTACGAATGCGCTTGTATAATCGAAGGACAGAGTACGTTTATTTCAAAAGGCCGCTGGGAGAGGGTGGCCCGCACTCACCTCGTCCGATTTGAAGCTCTTCCCCTGCATGCCGTGCTTCCAGAAGGCCAGCACACTGTCCTGAAGGCACACTGCAAGAACGGACACAGCACGGGGCTGACTCACCCCACGCGGCACGATTCCCGGGGACCCCGTAAGCGTGCAAGAGGTCCGCCACGTGGTGAGGCAGAAGCAGCCCAGGTGGGCAAGCCTTCGGTGACGTCACAGAAGCCCCGGAGGGACTGTGCCGAACTTCTGTTAGCACCCCAAACCCGCAAAGTCAATGGACCCTGACGACCAAGGGGCGACCCTTGTCAACCCCAACCCACCTCCTGTCCATGGGCAGCTCGGGCGACAAATGGCCAAAACGACCAAGCCCTGAGAAGCAGAGGGATCCCAGCAAGGACTCAAGCGGGAAGAATTACGATGCGCCTTGCATTCAAAGGCAGCAGCTTCTCCCGCTCCTGGTATTTCTTAGGCCGTGAGTGCGTGGTGTGTTTTGCTTCACTACGTCCTCTAGCTAGCAGGATTGGGGGGGGGGGCACCTTTTTCAGCCCGAGGGCTCAATTCAAATTCGGGAGGGGCCTTGGGCATGCTAAGGGGGACCCCGTGGCCCAGAGCAGCAGGCCGTGTCAGTCCCCACAAGCAAAGATGGCTTACCAACAGATTCGATGCGGAAATCAAAACTCAACTCTGAGGCCAGCTTCTTGCTGGACTTCAGTTTCCCGTGCAGGTTCACGATTTTCACGAATCCTTGAGAGAAAAAAAAGGAATCCAAATTACCTTGGTCTCAAACAAAGTTCCTGGAAAAGCCAGAACAGCCCTCCCTGCAAGGAAAGAGGCCCCAGAAAGAATCCACCCCCCCCCCCGGTGGGTTTCCACAGCAGGGCCGCTCAGCCCCCCAAGCGCACCGGACTGGCTGAGGGCTTCCAGGGAAGGCAGCTGGAAGGGCAAGAGGAAGCTTGTAAGCACACACAAGGCAACTTCCACTGCCGTTTCACACTGAATTCTACATTAACTGCTGCTTTTACATTTTTAATTTGGTTCCATGAGTTACTTTGCATTCACTGGATTGTGTTTGCGTGTTAATGCCGAATCAAAAAATCACTGTGGTATGAGGTGCAACATGATAATAATGACACGTGTACAGGCGTGGTTTAGCCCAAGCGAAGCACTCTGGCATGTGACGGAGACCAAAGCGCAATTATTACGTATTTAAGTCTATTCAAGGTGATTCAGTTCAGCTCGAGGAGTGGGAGTAAATGGCACAAAAGCTGGGAAATCGCCGTATGATCCGTGGTCAGTTTTACCCTCACAACAACCCTGTGAGGTGGGCCAGTCTGAGAGTCTGTGACTGGCCCTGTTACCCCGTGAGCTTCATGAGTGAACAGGGCCTAGAGGTCGATCCCGAGTCCCAGTAACTGCTCTGCCCCTCCAGTTCCCTGTTGTGGGGTCCAAACCCGCACCCTCCGTTCTGTGTCAGGCATTTGTCCCTAATATACTGAGGACACGAGGCAGGAACTGCAGCTCCGCGATCCAGAGCTCCCGGAATTTAAAAAGGGAGCTGGTATTAGGCACAAGAAGCAGGTCCAGGACTGGGTTTCCCTCTTATGGAAAGGGGAAGGCTGTCCCCCATCCCGTTAATCCTTGTCCTCATTCCACCATTATTCCCAGTTATAGAATGACCCCCCCCCGCCCCCGACATGCCCTCCTGGCACCAACACTCAGCGCCAGATCAAGACGACCTCCTACTCTTTGGCATCGTGCAGTAAGTTCTTAATCAGGTGTGGAATATTTGTCCTGCGTTTAGAAACGTGTGTCTCTCTCATATTTTCTATGTCGTATGTGGGTGGGCTTTATGGTCTATTTTTAAGGTTTTAATCTTTGAAAACTGCCCTGAGATTTTTGGCTGTTTAGTGGCAGAGAACGTAATCAAGGAAAGGACTGGAATTCCTGTTTGTTTCCCCTTGTGGGCCAAACAGCGGTGCCGGAAGAGGAGGATAGGCTCCTGCCCCACAGGGCCACGGTCCCAATCGGACCGGTTCCTCCGTCAGCAGCCAAGCCCACGAGCCGATCGCCTGGCCCTGAAGAGACACAGCAACTCTGGGAGAAGATCTGTGCTTGCCACCTGGGGGCACTCTCAGAAGAAATGCTCACCGCAACAAGAAGTTGCGGATTAAGCACCTGCCTTAATGTCTCCACCGCATCGATCGCTTGGCTCAGCCAGCCACCAGCTCAGCAGGGCTTCGGCGCACAACGAACGCTGGACTCCGCACTGCGGGGGGACGGGAGAGTTCAAGCCACCAGTTCGCAGGCTGGCTTGGGTGGTTTCATGGCCAGTGATGCATTTCAAGGAATCAAAGTGTGCCAAGCATCTCCTCTCATCTCCTCTACATGGATTAATATTATCATCATCCCCAAACTGTAGGTGGGGCTTAGGGAGGGGACTGAGGCGAAGCTGAGAAATGGGCTTCCAAGAGCTCCGCTGGCATCTGTAAGGAATCCCACGCGGGGACCTTCCCAGCTGGTGCACTGCAACCTTCAGCCCTGCGCCAAGCAAAGCTTGCCCCAGAGCATCTCCATGAAGGAAGGCATGGGCTCTGGAAGGGAGCGCCCCCACCCACGGCTTCTCTCCAGCGTGGCCTTCCTCCAGATGAAACTGCCTTGATGGCGGGGTCTCTGAAGGATGTCACACCCCTCCCTGAACACTCCGCTACTGGAGGCGAGATGGGCCTCTACCTGAGCCAGGGCCTTCTAAATTATGAGACTCCTTCCCGATGCCTAGCTTGATAGGTTTTTGTGTCAGGCTGTTTTCTCAGGGTTTGATGGCGTCGGATCTATCTTCCGGGATATATATATTCCTTCTGTTTTAATGTTTTAAATGGCTGTTGTTTGCTTTCCTGATTTTATGCTGTAAGCTTTTATTTTCTTATTTCTGAGATGGCTAGCCATCTTAGACGGTGCAAAAGCAAGATACAGATCCAGCGACTTACGGTCCAAACACACGAGAACCGTGTCTCTCTCTAGCTGGGTGACGTGGATGGCGTCCAGCTGCTGGCAACCTGCAGGTGAGAAGAGTGTGAGCGCGTGGACCCAGGACAGCTGCCGCGCCTCCCGCGAGGGCCTGCGCGCGACGGCCCGTGTGGGCCTGGGGGCCCTTTGGGATCAAGGTGTGGGGGGCACGCAACGCCGGGAACGCGAGTGGGGAACAGCTACTGAGCACCGGTGTTCAAGGGCACAGGCTTCGTCTGAACCGGTTCTTGCCCCCAGAGCACACAGGGACTGCAATTCCCATCATGCCTTGCCATCAGCTCTACCGCGAGGGCTGATGGGAGAACCAGTCCAACCAAGACTGGAGGGCGTCACGTTGGCCTGGCATGTTCCAGTCAACCCTTTTAAAAAATAAAATGAATAACAGCAATGCACCAGCGACCGGGTTTTCTGCCATGGAGTTCCTTGCTGCAACCCAGCATGTGAAGGGCGTCTCCTAGCCCTTTTCCTGCAGACCAGCAGTGCACGCCACAGCCCCCCCACCCCGGTGTTGCGGAAAGGGCGCCACCAGCTGCAAGGAGGCCCGGTGCGCATGCCGAGATCTCCCTGGGCCCGCCTGGATGCCAGCCAGCGTCTCTGCTCTGCAGGCCAGCCCGTCTCCGAGGGAACCTGCCGGGACGGGCAGGCTGCCGAAGTAGCAGCGCATCGTATCCTCCGGGCCAGGTCGGTGGGGAGGGGGAGGCCTCTTGCAGCCCCCAGTAATCTTGCACTGGCTGCCCTCGTTCCAGCCCCTGAGCTGGGCCACACGCTTCCTGGCATAAAGGGCGGAACACCGCAGAGATCTGCATTTGGGGGCTTGGATACGGGGACGATTGCCTTGTTTCATTTCTCCCCGTTCAGAAGGAGGGGTCTCGGGGCTGGCTTGCTGCGTCTGCCGCACCAGATGGAGGAGCACTGGGGGGTGTGCGAAGGCAGCAGCGGGACCAGGCCAGAGCCGGCTCGCTCGGGCCCACGGGGTCTTTTGCATCACCGATCCATTCGTCTGCCAGGGACGCGGCTCTGGGTGGCGCGAAGGCACAGTCCGGCGTGGGCCTAAGCGGACGGACTCCCAACGCAGGGGCTGGCACCTGCTGCGGTTGCGGGCCTCTCTCTGCTGGCAAAATCTGCACAGAGTCACGCCCTTAACTTATCAAGGTTCTGATACATATGAAGGGGGGAACGTCGCTGAGATGTTCCAGGACTGCGAAGCGGCAGGCATCCAAGCAATCAGCGGGAGCAGGGGAAACAAGGACCATGGGGCGGCTGAATGTCAGGCCCAGGGATCTAAGTGGCCCTCGGGGTTCTCTAAATGGCCACGGAGCCTTCCCTGAGGCATGTACATCGCCTTTCGCAGAAAGGAAAACAAACAAACAAACAAACATCAAACAGAAGAAAACCAGCCCAGACTCTCACCTGCCCCGATTTCTGTAAACCACGAAGAAGCAGAGTTCAAGTTGATCGTCTCGAAATGAACGACCTGGTTTGGTTCGGCCCCCTTGCTGATGGCGACGCACACCATGGGGTATTCCTGTTCTGGGATTACCAGCATTTCAAACACATTCAAGGGAGTTGGCAAAGGGAAATCAAAGTGCTGGGAGAGAGGGGCAAAGAAAATCAAACGGAGATCAGACGGCAAAAAGCAACTGGCCCATCTTAAGATTTGCCTCTTTACAGGGTGGACGTCACACGTGCTCCCGTCATCCCCAGCAGCACACACGGGCACGGCGATCCGCTGCGGCCTAACTTATGTGTCGAGACTGCAGCGCTGCTGCACCGAGGGTTCGAAGTCCCATTCCCGCACGGTGCCTGCAGGCTCCCAGCCTCAGCGGCTTGTCCTGTTGTGTGAATCTGGGCGGCAAGGTTTGCTCGAGGGTTAAACACCCTAAAATAAGCCATGGATCAAAACAGGCCAGCGCTTTCCCAACAAGCAAAGGTGACAAATCTGAGGCTCTTTCTGTGGACACATCAGGAGGAGGCCAAGTCAGGGAGAGTCAAAGAAAAGGAAGGCCAAATGAGAGATGGACCGGCTCCGTAAAGGAGGCCCCGGCCCTGAATTCAGAGCAGCTCAGCAGGGATGTTGTGAGTGGGACGTTTTGGGGGGATTGGAGGGAGAGGCTCCAGGTGGCGAGGCAGGGTGGGGATGAGCACCTGAGCTGGTCCAGAAAGGGCAGAAAGAGGCTTGGGTGGGGGGTCGGGGGGATGGGCTGGCTGGCACAGGGCTGCGAGCAGAAAGCGCCTGCCTCCTGGGCAGCCTGCTTCTGCTGGAGCTGCAAGCTGCAGGCCCGGCCCCTGCCTCTGCCTCACACTCAGCGCTTTAGGCTGGGAAGCGTCCTTCCACAGCAGCCGTTTTGTGGTGGTGCCCAGGGCACTGTCCCAAATGCTCGTTATGCCCACAAGCACGCATGTCGTGAACCACGCCAAGAGTCCTTGACTAAAGGACTGGTATAAAAAGGGTGAGTACCCAGAGCAGGGCCTTCTCTGCGGTGGCGCCCCATCTATGGAATGCGCTCCCCAGAGAGGTCCGCCTGGCGCCGTCATTTGTTTTTTGGTGCCAGGCCAAGACCTTTTTATTCAAACGTTATTTTAATTGTTAATATTATTTATTCATTTTATTCTTTGGCCAGGGCGACTTAATTTATATTGTTAATTTATATTGTTTTATTGGATTCTATTTATTTATCGTTGTGAGCCGCCCCGAGGCTTCGGCGAATGGGGCGGCATAGAAGTCCCCTAAATAAACAAACAAACAAACAAACAAATGCCTTAAGGAAATGAACAAGCAGGCCCAAAGGGTCGCTTCCTGCTTGTGTAAGCTGCGGAGGGCAATGGCCCACCTCGTAAGAGGCACGGGCCATGATCCTCACGTCACATTTGCCCTTCGAATGCCAGAAGGGAAATCTGTGGGGCGAACTGCGTGTGTGGGGAGGGACTTGTCCCCAGCCCTGTGTCTCCCTGTGGACCTGGGGTCTGAGCAAGGCTGCTCTTAGCGCTTTCAGGGAAGCGCCGGCGGCTGAAACCGAGTCCAGAAGCCACCTGGCCACAGACGCACTCTCCGTTTCAAATCTGTCGCTGCAAGGCCTGCAACTTTCCCTCTTTTGCAAGCGAGCTTGTGCCCAGAACAGCTAAGAAGAATATTGGCTTTTATTATAGTGTTAGTGTTATGGATTGTTAGATATTGTCATCTATTGTGCGTTCTTGTTTTGGTTCTACTGTTAACATTCATTCTGGCCAAGTTTCACTGGCCGTGCAGATGTTTTATGATGGATGTACTTGTTTTTAAACTGATTGCTGATATTATTGTTTTAATTTGATTGTGGCTGTTACAGACTGTTTCGCCAGGGTTTTATTGTGTAACTGTTCTGACAGATTTCTGCTAATGAATGGGATATAAAAGCCAAAATAAAAAAACAAACCAAAACAAAAGAAGCTGCGCAAAAAGGCAAAACATACCTTTATTAACATGAATTTCTGCATGGGCTCATACCACTGAAGCAAAACAATTCCCAGCTGTAATGCTCCACAGAGGTACTTGTGGCCTGTGTAGGGATTTCTTACTAAAGAGGCAAAAAGACAGGAAATTCAGAGACTCATGAGTAACTCGCCTCGGTCAGGCAGCTGTTCAGAGGACTCAGAAGCCGTGAAACTGAGGGTTCAGCTCGATAGCACACAGTTTATTGTTTTAAAGTGAGGTTTCACACTCCCTTAACCGGACCCGGTTTCCTCTCGCCTGCAACCCCCGCAGCTGCGCAGTGTCCGGCCCCTTCTTCCGTCCTCCCCACCGTTTCTGGTCTCTGACGCAAAAATCAGGCTAAGCAGTGCGGCCGGGCTGGATCCTTCCCCCATCACTCTGGCCTCTCTCTTCTGCCTCTCCCTGGGACGGGGGGTGGGGGGGGCAGTCTGGGGCAGGCGCAAGGGGCTCTCCATCTCCTTTGGAAGCTGGGCACAATAACATTTCTGCAAGAATCCCATGCATCCTCAAACCATGGCTTCCTCCAACTTGCAGATACAAGCTGAACAGCAGCAAACAGAGCAGCCACTGCACCTCACCCTGATGACCTGGATTAAACCAACCGAACTGGTCACATTTAACACCGGAACTGAGTTGAGCGGGCTGGGGGAACGTTGAGAGGGGAGGACGCCCCGCTCCCGACCCCAGAGAAACATTTCCTGATGGTGAGAGCAGTGCGACAGTGGAACCCATAACCCAGGGAGGTGGTGGGCTCTCCCACACTGGGGGCATTCAAGGTGCAGCTGGGCAGCCCTCTGAGGGGGCGGTTGAACGGGGAGCCCTGCAGCGAGTAGGGGGTGGACCAGATGGCCTCTGGCCCCTTCCAGCGCTACAAGTCTATGATAATACAGTTCACACCAGAAATACCGTTTTTAAATCAGTCTGAAATCTGAGTGGAGAAACCTTTGCTGTGTGATGCCACCATTTAGCCAGGAGCAACGAGAAAACCAAAGAAGATTCAGGTAAGACTTGTGCCACCAAATTCGCCCTTGGTTTTCTGGCCACCAGAGCAAAGGCAACACACGAGCAGCACTTTTCATTATCCTGTAGCTTAAGACTTACCGCATAAAAATTCTTCCTAACCCAAACCCCAAGAGGAACGTTCACACGAATCGTTGTTATGAGGATGCCGAGTGGTGAACGGGTTACTCCCACTGACAGGGCTGCCGAACATGCAGCTGCAGGGCTGTCCAGTGGTGACTCCCGTGTGGCGTCCCCTGGGCACCCGCGGCTCCATGTGCCTTCCAGGCCAAGCAAGGGGAGAGACCCACACGGCCGGGAACCGGCAGTCAAATGTGCAGACCGAATTCCTGGGGCACGGGAGCCTCCTGCCCCATTTCGGCCGGGCATGGAGCCTGAGCAGCACCTGGTGGGGCCGAGCCGTAAGCGGACGCTGGAGCGGACTCCAAGCTCGGGGCAGCTTCAAGTTCCACAAGAGCTGGGACAGAGCCTGGTGGGTGGCGCTTGGGAGCCCCAGCTGCAGACTTACCTATGCAGCATTTATGGCATCCTTTCGTATCCGGGATCTTTGTCGTTAAGGCGAATTTCCTGAAATTACAGAGCCGGCTGGTGACAACAGGCCAAGGGCCTGGCCCGCAGGCACCCTTGCTCTGACCCACCACTGATGCTCCTATATCCCCCCGCCTCCCCTTTATTTTCAGAACAAAGACATTCAATTAGTACTATACAACAGCCTTTCCCATCCAGAGAACCCCAAGTATTTTGGACTATAAGTTGCCATCGGTCCCAACTAGTGCAGCGATTGTGAGGGAGGAAGGAAGCTGTAATCCAAACCTCCTGGAGGCGCCCACGTTGGGGAAAGTGGCAATCGAGAAACACACAGGTAGAACAGCAGGTGGGGAGTAAAACAAAGTCGGCATGTGGAGGCAGTCTCAGGCATGCAAAAAGGTCTCTCTCTGGCACAGGGAGCTTAATAAAAGGAGCAAGCAGGAGGCCTTCCTGGGGAGGGCTCTCCGCAAACAGAAGTGCCCCCACCAAAGTGGGGCGCGCGCGCTCTCTCTCTCTCTCTCTCTCTCTCTCTCTCTCTCTCTCTCTCTCTCTCCCTGTGGCAACCACCATCTTACTTTGGAAGGCGGGAGAGAAAAGCCCCAGCCCCAAACTGTAAAATCTGCCCTTTCTTCTTTCTGAAATTTGCAATCTTGCTTTGCTGGTACGGTTTGTTTGTTTGTTTGTTTGGGATATTTCTAGGCTGTCCAATAACTCTGAGTCTCTGGATGGCTTATGATGGCTGTTGTTGTTGTGGTTATTATTTTAAATCTTTCCCTTTCTGATTCAGACCCTTTCTCAGTGAGCCCTGATGAGAAAGAAAGGGGCAGCAATCCTTGGAAGTAGATTTTTTTTCATAATCAGTGGTGATGAGACGAGCTCGAGACCCCTGCGAGGCCGCTCAGCGGAGAAACGGGGCATGGCAGGGCGAAGCACCATCTGCCACGCACAAGACACGCCACACCCCTGGCAGGTGCCCTCCCCGCTCTTGCAGAAAGGTTTTGGGTGCCCTGAGGACAGCAAAGAACACTGGAGCTCAAACAAGCACGTCAAGAGATCTGACCAGTGCCAAAAAGCGCTTTTCTGCACAGCACAGGAAAAATGGGGGGTTCTCCCCCTCCCTCAGCACTAGAAATTGAGCATCACTCAGTGGCAGCGATGGGAAGCAGATTCAGAAGGAATGAGAAAAGCGCTTCTTCATGCCACGCATGGGGGTCGTGCTGCCACAGGACGGGGTCTGGGCACCCACCAGCTTCGACGGCTTTGAAAGGGGTTTGGTTAGAGAGACCCGGAGAGGAGGAGAAGCAGGACCCGGAATGCCAGCTGCCAGGCAAAGCAGAAGTGGAGGGTGGTGCACACCTTGCAGTGCCCTGGCAGGAAGGAGTTGCTGGAACAGGTGAGCCTTTGGTCTGATCACTCCATTAAACGATCGATCGATTGATCGATCAATTTTTCGATTCATATCCTGCCTTTTTCCTACAAGTGGCTCAAGGCAGCTTACATCCTTCTCCTCCTCCATCTTATCCCCACAACGACAACCCTGTGAGGTAGGCTGGGCTGAGAGTCTGTGACTGGCTCAAAGTCGCCCAGTTGGCTCCATGGCTGAGCGGGGACTCGAACCCAGGTCGCCTGAGTCCCAGTCCCACGCTTTTCACCACTGCACCACGCTGGCTCTCTGTAAGTATTTCCTGCCTTTTTTCCTTCGGGGAACCCAGGGCAGCTTCCATGATCCAGCCCAGGACTGTCTGATGGGCTTGGAGACCGTGCACGTGGATCAAAGCGTTCCAAGACCGGGCGATCTGTTCTCGCTAAAACCAGCACCAGATGGACCATGTGTTGTGCGAATGGGGAGCCTCTTGTGGCCAGGCGGCCATCCTGGTCCTGGGTGAGCACAGGGTGGGATCTCCAGGCCAGCAGGGGGGTGTGCAGCCCCAACACAATAGCCAAGACCCCTTTAAAGCCCCACTGCAGGGAGGGAGAGGCAAGGTGGGTCGGAGTGGGAGGAAGGGCCGTCGTGCTGGGGATGAGAGGATATCCCTGATCTTGCAGGGCTGCTCTGCAGATGGAAGGACCTCCTGCGGGCTGGAAGTCTCCCCCCCCCCCCACTGATCGGAACAACACTGCTTTCTCCACCAGCGTCCAAGGGGCAGAAACCACCAGCTTACCTTGGTAATATTTTATCTGGGAATCGGTGGGTCTGGATGTGGGCTGCCAGCCCTGTCTTTTTGGCTTGTTCAAACAAAGCTATTAGGTTGTGCGAGTAAAGCTGGAAGGTTTTCCCTGCAACACAAACAGACAGGACCCACCTCAGACTCTGAGGCATCAGAGGGGCACGACAAACCGTGCTAAAAACCAAAGAGAAATACGCCGGTGTGGAAATTACCTTCTAAAAAGGACAGCCCCGAAACATCCAGAGGTCCAAGGAAAATGCAGAGAGCAGAAGACAAACAAGAGGGGAAGAAAGAAAAATTGATTTCTGTGAACTATCAAGCCAAGCTAAATTCCACACACCCAGGAAAAGATTCCCCGAAAGAGCATTTCTTGGGTATTTCCCCCAGCACTTAAGTTTCGTGGCACAGTTCTTCAGACATTCACATACCTGAGAGTGACATTAGGGTGTTGTTGATGACGTACAGCCATGTACACCTCCGTGGAAAGAGCTAGAAGGGAGGAAGCAGCAGAGGGTCCCATGGGTGAAAGAAAGCAGGGCAGGGACCCTTTGTTCCCAGAGCCCGGGAATTCCGGGCAGGCAGAGTGTGCCGCATAAGCAGGAACGTGGTCTCTGGCGCCTGGAATTCCTCGGACTAAGCGAGATGCCCTCATGGCTGCCAAGAGCAAGAAGAACGTCTCGGATGGCACTGAGAAGGGGGCTTGAGGTCATGTCTGATGGGGCCTTTTCCTAGGTAAATGTGCGCAGGAGTCAGCCCTGCGGTTAAGCCCTGAGGTGTCTACCCTCTTCTTTTCTAATAATAATGTAATCAGAGTTGGCAAACAACACCAACGTTCTCCTCTTCTTCAACATTTCAACCCTCAGCGTTGCCCAGAAACGATGTGGGACAGTTAAAAACTATACATTAACATCTTAAAAACGAACGGCAGAAAAAATAAAGGCAGAGCAGCCCAGAGAATCGATCTAATGAGAACATTCTCCGGATGCAGCCAAGTGTGGCAACCAAGGATGGGGGAAACTAGTTGGGGGAGAACAGTTGATGTGCAATCCTCTGGCGGCCAGCTGCTCCTTAAGACAGGGCTGGGCAACTCTGGGAGGTGGGGGGTCCATTTTCATCACCCCCTGTGGGCAGCAGTGAGAAGTGGGGGGGCGGGGACTCTGGGTTTCGACAGCAAAGCGCTGCACTCGGCAACCGCGGCGAAGTCCTCGCTCCACTTGGCCCCTTGAATGCTCCGTAGCCACTATGGAGGACGAAAATGGATTTGCTCCACTCGTCAGCAGGCTCGGTCTGTTTCTTCCAGCACTTCAAAGCTGCTATGGAGGACCATTTCGTTTCCAAGGATTCTCAAACTGTGGCTGCGTTGCTTTCGCCCCCTCCTGGACCCCACCCCAAAGAGATCCCGAGCCACTCCACGTGGCACGCGTGAAAAGGTGCTCTCCCACCTGCTCCATGGTGGCTTCATGCAGCTCGTTGAGGTTCAGCGTGTAAATGCCCTCTTCGGTCCCAAAGATGATGTACTGATCTGCAAGACGGCGGAGGGAAAACCAGCTCAGCCTGATCAGAAGCAGAGGGGGAAGGCTGTATTCCAAGCTCACACGTGGATAGCAACCGCACCTTTTGTGTCTGGGTGTATCCATGACGTGGCACAGTTGATCTTCAATGGGCAGCCATCGAACACTTTGGAGAAGCAAGCTCCCATCTGGAATGGCAAAATCCAAACAGATCAAGCCCGGCTGGGTGGGAGATTTTAAAGCTAAGTCGTTTCCCGTCTTCTCATGTACGGCCAAAGGAGGAGTGGGCAGCAGGCAGCAGAATCTCAGAAGCCAGAACAGGAGCCGAGCAACGGGCCCTCCGTGCGGAGAAATTTGCAGCTTCCCAAAGAGAAGCAGAAGGAATCACATTAATGAGCAGAGCTGCTTAATGTGGAGAGTGCACCAAATGGTTATTTATAATTATTCTGGCTAGCTACTGCTTTTAAGGCACTGCTGCTTTTAAGCGGTCCTTTACCAGCAACACCCAAGTCACCAAGACTTGGTCCTGACCTGCTGGGGGACACCTGGGAGCCATCGTGGGACCTCCTCTGCTCTGCGCCACCGCCGGCCAAGCCTGGGATTGGGAAGAGGGGCTTTTTGAACAGCAAACAGCCTTCCCCATGAGAACCGGTCTCTCTTCACCTTCCACTTAAAAACACCCCTGCTCCCTAGCGAGCTAGTAAAGAGGAGACACTGGCCAGATCCCCCTGAAAACCTCCGTCCTCGTTAGCAGGAGACTCAATCAAAAGCAGGGGGGAAATGAATTAGCTGCATGAGGGAAGGAAGCCTGCAAACGGTCCAGTATTTAATCCCTTCCTCTTGGGGCTACAAAGCCCTTTCCACCGAGTGTTGCGTCACTCCCACTTCACAATTAAAAAGAGCTCTTACCAGCACCTTGGGCGTTGGGGGCAGGCCGTTAATCGCTGGCCTCTGCAGACAGAAGAAAAGACTCAATTACATTTACTTCTGGAGAGTCAAACCTTAAAAGGAAGGGTTCAAAAGACGCAGCAGGCTAAGACTGCCTAGAGATTTGGATCTGCCCTCACCGCCTACACATCCTGGGATGTTTCTCCAGGCCTGGCACTTCATCAACATCTTTCATGTCCCGTTACAAGAGCACAGAATGCTGAGTTTTGTTGTTTACAGTGCAGCATCAAGGAAAGGATGAGGGCTGCCAAGATTGGGTTTTATTTACAGAACCCCCAAATTTTCAACTGAACCAAAGGCAGTGTACCATGTCGTAAACAAAATAAGTGTATTAATTTGTATGTGAAATTTTGTTAAAAAAAATTAAAAATCAGCATGGCTTGACCAGGACTTCTGCTTCATGGACCTGGTAAATGTTGGGCGTATCAGTCAGGAAAAGGTGAAAAGGAAAGCAAAGCTCAGGCGGAGGATGGGATCGGCTCACATAACCCTCAGTTCGATCTCCTTCAACCCAGTGCCCTCCAGGTGCCCTCCATCAGCTCAAGACAATATGGCCAATGCAGTCCCCAATATTGGAGGGGCACCAGCTTGAGGAAGGCTTCCTTAGCTTACAGAACCCAAGTGATATAGTAAAAGAACTCCCTGCCCTGTTTAGGGAAGTTTCAAGACAGAAGGGAAAAGGGCACCTTCCTCCCAACGCTTATTCGTCAGAGACGAACCACCGTCTTGGCCTGAGCTGCTTTCTCCCCACCACCCCTGCCTACCAAGTCCTGGATGGCCACGCTCTGGGCACGGGGGGTTCCCACGGAGGTGTCTGGGCAGTCACAAATCCTGACACTTTGGCTGCATTGTGGGACAAGACGCTAAACCCCCACCCACCGGAAACTCCCGCTTGTCCTTCTTCCGTGGCAGCTGTGGCACATGGCCTAGCCCCTCCGCATGTTCCTCGAGGAGTTTTGGCACGCTGTCCCCGTTGCCTAAAAAGCAAAGTTTTAAATCAGCAAGAATGACCAAAAAGTGGGCTGAGCAAATGGGGATGGGAGTGGGGGTGGGGAGCCCGAGGGAGAGCTATCTGGACACACACGTTCAAGCTTGCTCGCCCACCCACTCCCTGCCCGAACCAACCCTGAGCTGAGCCGAAGGGAAGTCCAGTCTGCCATCGGCCACTGCAAGCCTGTGCCCCGGGCTCCGAGGAAGGCCGTCACGGCAAGGGAGACAGCTCAACCACATCCATCCCCAGGGAAGGGGCACTCGATTTCCTCCTCCCTCCTCCTCCCTTGTTTCTTTTGTGTTGTGTCGGTCAGGTAGCGAACCGTTCTCTTTCTCTTTATAGACCTGAGAACGTTTCAGGCACTTCACACGTGTCAAATAACCACCAACACTAACAGGCGTAACTTGGCAATGAGTGGATTGGCTCCCAGTTCAGTGTTTAACTTGCAAAATGTCAGCTCATGCAGAGCATTTGGGAGTCTGGCCTCCAAGCGGAAGCAGGCCGGCCAGCCTGCCTGTCCAGGGCGAGTCCCTTGGCTTCGCTCCATGTTTTGGGGCAGCATCATGCTGTGAACGGCTGCCCATTGGCTTCGGATGTGGAGTGGCACATGGGCTCCCAAGTCAGCCGGCCACTGAAGCCCACACAGACAGGCTGGATGAGAACCCAGTCCCTCTGCACCCCGGTGGGGTGAGGGCAAGGTGGAGGGGTCCCAAGCATTGGCACTCTGAGTGTCCCCCTCGCCCCGCGCACGAGAGGGGCGTGAGCTCTGGCGGGGGCTCGGATGCTCGCTCAGCAACATTCTGACGGTTTCGCTGCCAGCTAGGAGATGCTGCGAGGGCCAGGGAGCACCCTGCCCGCTGCCCCGTGTGCCCCGGAGGACAGCGCCGCCGGGAGCCGCAGCGCCTCACCCATGTCACCGTATCTGGCTGTGAGCAAGCCAGGGCTGCTGGCGCTGCTGGTCATGCCGAGCGGGCAGGGCTCCGTCTGCGGCCCGCACACCGGGATGCTTTGCCTCCTGTGGGCCGGCAGGGCATGGCCATGCGGGTCGGGGCAGTACTTGATCGTCTGGGACTTCTCGTCGTCAGCAAGGCCTTCCTCCTGGTACAGGCTGAGCCGAGGCTGGAGGGGAACAGAGCGAGGCGGGGTCCGGGCTGCCCTCCTGCGGCTGGGGCAGCCCGCAGGCCTCCTCCCCCTCCCACGCTGCCCCCCGCCGGCTCCCACAGAGCCTCTCCCCACACCCAGCCCCTCGCTAGGCGAGCCGGCCACCCCACTGCTGCCGTGCTCCGCCTCTGGCATTCCAGGCATGCTTGGGGGAAGAGAGGGCAGGGTGCACAGCCGTCACCATGCGGCAATTTACTGGGTGCAACCGAGCGGCTTGCTGGCCCGGCGAGCAGGTGTCTCTTTGCGAAAGTGTGGCCCTGGAAGGGGAGCTCTGCCAGGCCGAGGGGGCCGCAGAGCAGGCGGAGCAGCTTCCCGCAGCCAGCGGCCCTCGGATGCGTGAGGCAACACAGCCCTCCCCTCCCCTCCCCTCCCCTCCCAGCACCTGGCTGCACCCAGGGGGATGGAGGGCGCAGAGGGGCCTCGGGTTCCGTTCCCTGTTCTGAATGCACCGTTCCTGTAAAGGAGTCCCGAGGGTTCCGCATCGGGGCTAAGCGGGAGTCTGCCGGCACGGCTTTCTGGGGCGGTGCCCACTCACCTTTGGAGGTAGTGGAGGCGGTTCTGCCCGCTTCAGCGTTGATCTAAAAGAGAAAGACAGACCCGAGAGAAAAGCTCCTTATTCCAGCCCAGCGACCTGCGTGCATCAGGTGCTCATGATTTCTCATAATGTCAAGAAGCTATTGGTTAGTTCTTTGGCTTGGTTATTCATTTTAAAACAATGTCTCCTGCTCCAACAGCCGACTTCTATGGAAGCTGCCTAAGCAAAACAGAAGAGAAGGGGGAGAGCGGGGGGCTGCGGGCAGCGCGTCAGCTTGTCACACAGCAGGAGCTGCTGCATTGCCGCCTCCTCCGGCAAGACCCCAAAGCCAGGAGCAGCCCCCCAGAAGCAGCCTGCCAGGGTCCCTGGGGGAGAGAGCCTGGGTGGGCACAGAGCTGAGCAGGCCTCGGTGGCTCGCGGGGAGGCGAACGTGGCTGCCCGGCCGTGTGAGTACAGGGCTCTGCCCGGAAGAGGAGTGAGCCGTGCCCCACGGGTGCCAGGGGTCGAAGGGATCCCTGGAGAGGGGGCACCAGTATCCTGCACGGGTCTCTGCCCAGGTAACGGGAGGGGAAGCAAAGGAGCAAGCAGGTGCGCTCGGTCTCTTCAGGTTTTCCCTGGCACAGAATGGCCAGCGCAGCCCTTGGGGGCTCCTCCTGCCCGCACAGCCCTACGGCAGGGCCGGGAAGTGCCATGGAGCCTGGGCAAAGCGCCTTGTGGCCCTCCAGAAACCTGGCCTTGATTCCCAAGCTCCTTTGCTTCTGGGCATGGGAGCAGTGGGCGGAAACTTCTGGCCCAGCCTTCTGACAACGCGGGGGTCCAACCTGGCAGCCCTCCTGGGGCAGGGGGTGAGCCTGCCTTTGAGAGGCCCCGCCGCCTTCCAAGGCCTTGTGGCGGGTTGCCGGAGCCCATCAGTAAATTCTGATTTTTTTGATGGGGAGGGGTGACCATGCACCATTTTTGTTCCCGCAGAGACCTGCATAGGGTTGAACTAGGCTTAATTTAGAGCAGATTTTTATCAATTAAAAAAAACAAACTCCAATTCTCCTATTACTCTAGCCTGGGCATGCCTCATTTTACAGAATTATGCTGCCAGATGGTGATAAAAATATAAAGGCCATCGGAAACATGCAAGCTTGGGCACAAGGTGGGAGCAGCTTCAGAGAGGATGCCATGGCCAAGTGGTCAACATTTCTGGACAGAACCACGCAAAGAATCGTAGTGGATGCTGCACGGAGCCTGCAAAGTGTGGGGGGGGGGGAGTGAAAGAGCCCCAGAAGAGCCCCAAAAGAGCCTCCTCATCGCTCGGTGCTGTGGGTCTGGCCACGGGATGGGTGGGCAGGTGCCCATGTGTGCGTGTGGGCTGGGGGACACACATCCAAGGGCTAGACAGCTATGTTTTAAAGCAGAAATAATTTGGTTATCAGTCAGGGAAGAAGGAAGGAAGTCAAAGGTGAAGAAGAAGTCACTCACTCCTCAGCATCTTCGTGGCCGTCGCCAAATTTGGTAAGAAGTCCCCTAGATAAAATGTTTATAAAATGAAACAGTAAGAAAAGGCAGTGACAAACGAAACGCAGACGGGGATGGATGGCCGAAGAGCGTCGGTTTCTCCTGCGTGAGGCAGTGCTGTCTTTGGGACCCCAAAATTCTGTTTGGTGTCACAGTGAGTGGGAGAGAAATGGCATCCGTAGAAGGAAGGGGCAGAGTTCTCTGCCTCGTCCCCCTCCCCACAGATTCCCCTGCATGGGTGGGACAACCTCCGCCACAACCCCAGCCAGAGCCCCCACTGGCCATGACGGCACTGGAGTCCAAACACACATGATGCTTACGACAGCCCTGCAAGTCAGGCCGATTTGTGTACTCTCTAGATGGGGGGCTGAGGCTGGGAGTGAGCAGCCTGCCAGGGCAGGAGCTCCTCCTCTCCCCAGCTACACGGCATCTCCTCTGCCATCCCGCCTCCATACTTCAGTAGACTTTAAAGCCAGATAAGCATTCCCAAGTCAGGTAAAGAGGTCAGGTGGGGGTGGGGAGCAGCACACCTGCAAAGCTGAGAAATGGGTGAGGGGGGGCACAGCCTTCAGCAGGGGAGGAGGGAGGCGACCTGCTGAGATCAGCTCATCTCAGTTAAGGCGCCAAGGCGGAGCGTGGCCATTCAAAGCCCCCGAGGCAGGGAGATGGCCCGGTTCAGCTGCCATTTCTGGTGCCCCAGGCAGTTTTCTGCCTAGCTGGCAGGCAGGTCAGCAACTCCGGCTCGGGAGGAAAGCGATTACAAGAGGAGCGGCAATTCTGCTTCCCAGCGAAGGCACGGGGCACATGCAGCGCTGGCAGGGGTGCCCGCACACAGGCCCTGCGGACGCCACGTGGCCAGGCGTCCAGTCCCCTCCCCAGCCCAAGCACGTGTGGCTCGAAGGAAAGGGCCCGCGTGCTTCCTGAGGGTGCCCGGCATGGACCAGTGCGCAGCCCCTTCCCAAAACGGGTCACGGTGCCAGGAGAAAGCGGGAAGGGCCATCCCGGGCGTCTGCCACTGCAAAGGCCTCTCCGCCCTGAGCAGGGGGATGCGAACGATTCCTCGCCCTCTGGGATGGCGGGGCAGCTCCCTCGCTGCCCCCAGAGCCACGCCTGGCTCAGCTTTGCTCTGAGGCGCACGAGTGAGGGGGTTCGGAGGCGAAGCGCTTGCAGCCGCCTCCCCATGAGCTGACGGTGATTCTGAAGTGCCGCAGCGCCTTTGCAGGACGACAACATTCCCGGGGACTGGCCCCGGGCTGACAATAAGAGAGAGCCGCTTCTTCCTCATAAACGCCTAATTGGTCTCGGGCCAGGATATCTAAGCGACTGCCTCCTCCGGTACAAAGCCGTCTACAACTGATGGATTTCTTTCAGGGCACCAAGAAAGGTCAGGCTGGTGGGGCAGGAAACAGCACCCAGATCATGGCGCTTCCTCCCAGGCAGGCCGGAGGGTCCCGATCCGCGCCAGGCTTTAGGGGCTTGCTTTGTCTGCTGGCTTTTGGGAGGGCTGACACTGTTTTACGCTGCTCTCTGGGTGTTCTAAAGAGGGTTTGTACCCAACCTCACCATTCTGAGTCGAAATGCTGGTTTCTGGTTGGAGCAGAAAGGCCATTCCTAAATATCTTGTTAAAATGATATGAAATCACACAGCTGAGATGGATCAAGGCGCTGACTTCATAAATTCAGCACGGAGAAGATCCAGAGGGCACTTCAGCCGGGATGGGGTTCAGTAGGAGAGCGAGAGACTGAGAGGGAGGGAGGGAGAGCGAGCAAGCTGCAAGTCTCTCGGATGAAAAGCTCCCTCTGGCTGGCACAGCCGCCCTTTCACACACAGCTGACCCCTGACGCAGGCCATCAATCTGGACCGTGTTGTTTCTGGCCGAGCCTAAAAGCACAGAAAGCAGCTCAAAAGCCACGGCTCAAAGAACGCTTTTTTTCTGTGTGGTGGTGACATTCTCCAGGATTCCAGGCCTCCCCAAACCCAAGCATTTCCTGTTTATGCTGCTGAGCAGAATGCGATCTCCAAGGGAGTGGCAGATGCACTCTCTCGCGCTGGACGTGTCGGACTGCCGCGGCGCTCGCTTCGGCACCGCAGGTGACGGAGGCACCAGGAGCTGGCCGCCAGCCCCTCTAGACCCCCCTCGCGCGCGGCTGTGCCCGAGTGTCGACTGCCGCCAGGGGCACGAGGAATGCCAGAAGCCCAAACTTCCTGTGTGCGCCTTCCTTATCAGCCGCCACAGGCCGGGAAGGCACGGCAGAACACACCACGCAGGGCTTCGCAGATCAAGAAGGGCACAAAGGAAACACAGAGCGAAGGGACGGGGAGGGGTGGGGAGGGGAGGGGGCGGAAGGCAAAGCCTCTTGCGCTAGTCAGAAGAACGCTGTCCCGGACCTACAAAAGCACCAGGCTTTTCTGCAGTGGAAGAAGACATGTTAAAGAAACAGAACACAGACCACTCCACGCACACTCGCGTGCCCCAAAGCCTTTGGCCTTCCTCGTTTGCCACCAATGCGCACGAAAGCGAGCCAAAGTACGTGCAAATGTTTCCCCCACTCACCTCCTCCCTAAGACAACCCTTCCTGCGTTTCCTTTGTCGTCGCCCTTACATCGCGAGCTCCTGGCAGCAGGGACCTGCCCCCTGACCTGTGCAATTGCCTTCCCCAACTGAATGCCCTCCGGATGTCCTGGAGCATAATTCCCATCATCCACAGCCATGAGCATGTTGGCTGGGAGCAATGGGAGTTTTAGTGTCACGCACACGGAGGGTGCCAGGTTGGGAAAGGCTGGCGTAAAGCTCCAGTGCATACGAATGTCAGGTGAAGAGTAGCACCGGGCAAGAGCGGACAGGCCGAAAGAGAGACGGAGGCAGGAGGCAGCAGAAGCCGTTCCCGGGCTGCCCAGGTTGCGCTGCAGGGCAGGAGAGGAGCCTTGTGAGGCAAAGCTATTTTGCGGGGCTGGACCGCTTCCCCCATCACTGCTGGTTTTCTGGCAGGATGAGCGTGCGCTCTTCCCAGGCAGTTCCCCGTAGCCCACAAGATCTTGGGAATCCCGGCTCACAAGTATCCACCAAAACACTCCACACCACACTTTCTAGGCCGGGCTGGGCCGGGCCGGGCCGGGCCAGCCTTCGCGGCTGCAGAGCAACGCTGGCAGGCAATGCCACAAATTCCTTACACAGTTTTTCCAGTGCCAGAGTGTTCTGGGAGTTTCAAGTTACTTCTCCGCGAAGTGTCCCTACAGATGGCCAAGAGAGAAGACTGGACGGGAAGCGTTGCCTCCAGAAGGGGACTGGCTGCACTGGCGGCTTCTGTCCGAGAGCCGGACGCTCCGGGGCAGACGCACGGGACGCAGCTGAGGGGAAGACGCGAGCCGCCCGGTCCCCGTGGTGTCAGGAGGGCTCCGTCTGCACTCGGGCGGGCCTGGATCCGCCAGAACCTGCTGGCGGATCTTTGACACACATCTTCCCCCGCTTCCCCTTCCTTGCGCACCTCCGACTTCCTTGGCCGAACGCCTGTGGGTGGGAGGTGTCTTGCTTTCACTGGCTGAGCACAAGCTGCTCTCTCGGCTGAAACACGTCAAATAAAATACAGTAGTGAAGAGCTGCCAAGGAGCGGGCCGGGAAGCAAAGCAACCTGCCGGCTGCCCTGTGGCCAGGCTGCTGCCTGCAGCAGCGGGTGCCACGCTCGACGCTCGACTCGCGGCAGGCTGGCGCGCGAGCCGGGAGCAAAAGGGTCAGCCGGCCCCTTTGGCAGGCGATCTGCTGCACCTGGAGCACTTCCTCCCGCCCACATCCTGGCAGGCCGATGAACTGTGCCAGGCACGCCAGCTTTGTGGCATCCCTTGAGGCAGTGCTGCCCAAGGGCTGCGGGGCGGCGAACTGTCCTTCTGCCCGAGGGCCTGGTTCTGTTTCGAAGAGGATCTGCAGAGCTGCACCCCCGCCGTGCAGGAGACCAAAGGACGGCGCTAGGAGCAGCCGCTGTTCTGGCTTGCGGCTCTCCCAGCCATTTGCTGCTCTGTGCAAGAGCCCCCTGGCACAGAAGTAAGACCCCAAATGATTGGCAGTCGGGGCAAGGCTGGGGGACCATCCGAGCGAGCCCTAGGGGCTGGACGGGGAGCCAAGCTGGCCTTGCCCCCCCCCCCCCGCTGCTTCCCTGCCAAAGGGATGGTGACCTGGGAACACGGCGTTTTTTATTCAAGATGCGGCCTCAGAAACACTTACTTGGCACAGCTTCCTCCTTCGGCAAAAGGACTCCAGTGGGAGGCGAAGTGGGCGCCTCCTGCCACCACCTGCGGGGGCAGAAAGTGCCAGTTGAGCCTCTCTGAGCACATCGCACTGGCGTGCAAAGCGAGGGTGAACAGCTGGGGAGCACGCCGGACTCTTCTGTGGGGAGAATCTAGGCCGGACGCCACACCTCCAGTGGAGGCTGTTGAGAGGAGACACCACCACAGCCGGGTGCAGCTGGGACCCTCCTCAGGCCAGGCCAGGCGTCGGCCTCACATGCCAAAGGCACTGGAGCCACAGAAGTGGGGCATCACCTTCAGCAACCCCCCAACAAGGTGTGTGTGGGTGGTGCCCGTCCACCTCAGCCATGAGCTCTGCAAGCTCAGGGGCACTTTAGGGATCTATTGCAGGTCCTTCACCCAGCCCAGCATTTGACAACCTGAAGGCAACTTATTCCAGCATCTGAGTTAACTACGGGCTGCCAAGCAATGAACTGAGCGAAACCTCTTGGCTCAGTGCAGGGGCTCCTCTCCCGCCCGGCTTTCCAAGGTCTCTCAAACTGGGAGGCCGCTCCAGTGGGGAAAGCATGTGCTACGGGGGGGGGGGGCTCGGGGGTCACACCTCCACCCTCCACACTGAGCTCACCAAGCGCCCGACTCAAATCAGAAAACCAGAGGACCAGCAACCTGCCTCGCAGGGTTGTTGTGAAGCCACTATACAAACTTGCAATAAATGTGACCATATCCTAGATGAGACACGCCTCTCAAATTATACTATAAGCCTACTTTCCTCCCCCTTTCCCTCCCCATACTGCAGGCAGGGTTACTTTACTGACTGCAAATCACTCTAGGGGCCTTTGGGGGCTGAAGTGCAACATAAAAAGGGTTAAAAATATTACTACTACTACTACTATTACCACTTCATCCCGGGCTTCCGTTTCTTTCCTTAAAGGTGGTTCGAACTGCAACTTGTCAACTGTAAAATATGGATATTTGCAACTTTAAATAAACTTCACATTCTTTTAAAGCAGAGCTCACATCATTCTCTTTTCCAGGTCCTCCTTCAAAGCCAAACACTCAAATTAATTACCAGAAGCAGTTTAGAAGAACCTATTGCAAACTCATAAATAGTCAGGCTATTAAGTAGTACTGCATTTTAATATGCCCCTAAAGCGGGTGGCCATTTTTGCTTCAAAATGCTCTTCCTCAGAACATCACCACTATTCGATTTCTAAGTGTTTCCTCTCATAATACATGAATATAGAATTTCTCATAATACCCACATGAAAAGAAGAAAGAAAAACTGAGGGGAACTAACAAGGCATAAAATAATATAAAGTACCAGCTCCTTCATCTGCAACACATTCCTTAAGCTACATAAAACAAGCAGGTAAAGGAATGTAAAAGGGATGCTACTAGTCAGTTCCTATGAAAACCCGAAGGACTAACTGCCTTCGGAGAAAATATCATGACTGAGATTATGGGCCACGACACAGAGCAAGGCTGCTTCTGCTTTACAACGTATTTTCGGTGGAGTAGCTTTTATGTTCTGATTCAACAAGCTGCGCATCAGAGGCTTGGCGATCCAGGTGTTCTTGGTTCGTGGGTTAGGGGCAAAGGTGGCCCTGCCTCGCTTGTGACTCCTCCACGGCTGAATTTTCCTGGTACTGACAAAAAAGCAGCACTTTTGCTTTTTAAAAAGCTGTGTGGGAAGCGTTCTTCTCAAAGTGGAATTGTGTTCCTGAAAGCCGCCCAGAGCACAAGTTTGCTTTTCCAATTAGGCACGTGCTTTCTTTTGAAGCAGAAATACTGCTTTGGCACCACTGATCAGTAGGGGTGGGGGGGCAGGATGAGACAGGGACATGACACATGCAATCCCCCTGCCAAGGACCCGAAGTTCTAGGTTTTTCTTGAGACCTGGTATGGGCAACCTTCTGAAATGCCCGGAATGCTGAGGCAACGCTCGCAGCTCCAGCAGGAGCCAAGGTGCGCAGCCGGCACCTGCTGGCTGGCTTCTTTCTGCGTCCTCTGGACACAGTCCAGACAGCTACTCCGGAAGGATTTCTCAACTCAGGGAGGAACTTCGAACGCTATCACTCTGACTTGCAAAGGAGGGCCTTAAGTGCTTTACTTGGCACTCGACCGGGTGGAAGGTAATTTGTCTAAAACATGTAGGAGAAACTCACAGTTTATTTCAGAAGCCGTCCTTTCTGCTCGAACGTTCCGGTTGGTGGAGCGGATGGTGTGGCGAATGACGGGGTGAGGCTACAGGGACGGAAAGGGCAGCATCAGCGGCCGCAAAGCCCGAGATGTATTTATGTATGTATTTATTAAAACATTTCTATGCCGCCCCATTCGCCGAAGCTTCGGGGCGGCTCACAACATGAAGTAAAATACAAAAATAACAATATAAAAATAACAATATAAAATAAATATGAAAGAAATTAGGAGAGTAAGTACTCGGAGGAGGGCTTTCTCTGCGGTGGCGCCCAACTTATGGAATTCACTCCCCAAAGAGGTCCGCCTGGCACCGTCGTTACTGGTTTTTCGGCGCCAGGTAAAGACCTTTTTATTTAAACATCATTTTAATTGTTAAAATATATGATCTGGCCAGGGCAACTTCTTCTTCCTTCTTTT